GAGGCATCGGTTTGGCGTGTGGCTCCGCCGGCTCCGGCTCGCCACGCCTTGGGGCGAAGAGCTAGCCGCGTCCCGGTCCCCGAGCGGCACTGCCCCGAGCCTTTCCCAGCCTCCCTCCCCCCGGAGCGGAGGTGTCGCGCTGTTCAAGAGTGCCTTGCCTTGGAGCGTCGCGAACAGAGGTTTTCATGCGCCGTTCACCCTTGTCGTGCCTCTGGAAGGCTTCCCTTCACTACGAGGAGGAGGAGGAGGAGGAGGAGGAGGAGGAGGAGGAGGAGGAGGAGGAGGACCCACGTCCAGACCTCCGACGCACGGCTTCGGTGGACGCGATCGCATGCGTTGCTCTTTTTGCCGCCGCCCTGTCCAGCACGCCCGCCACGCGGATCGCACCTCACAAGGGGGTCCCACGCACGGCCTCCGTGGCGCGTTTCCCGCGCGCTCGCTCGGCGCCCCTCTCACGCGGAGCGTGTCCAACAGGGAACTTTGCGTACGGCCTCCGTGGGCGCGACCGCCTGCGGGCCTCTGCCCATCGCGCGGCTCCATGCATGCGGACTGTGCCCCATCAGGGAGTTCAGCGCGCGTCTGCGTGCCTGTTCCGCAGCCCCGTATCCGCGCTGCCCCGAAGTGCGCAGTGTCTCAAAAGGGATGGCCGCGCTCTGCGCTACACGCAGCTGCAGAGGATTGGGCCGTCGCTCGGCTAATTTTCTGTACATCGTTCATACCTTCACTTCCATCTGCTGAGCTTCACCATTGCCGTCCTCTTCCTCCTCGTCCTCCTCCTCCTCCTGCTCCTTCCTTCTCGCCCTATCCCCTCGCCTCCCGCCTCCCAATCCGTCGTCCGTCCTCCGCCCCTCCCACCCTCACACCGCCCGTGTGTTCTCTCCTCCTTCCTCCGTCTTGCGGTCGGACCGAGAGAGGATCGAGGTCTGCTCGGGGAGGGTACCCTAGTGTTCGTCGTGCTTGTCGTATGTTCTTGTGCGTCCTGGGGAGGGTTACCCCTGGATGTTCTTTGTGTTTTGGCCGGCGGAGGGTCTCATGGTCTTGGAGGGTGTTCTTCTGTCCTAGGTCCGACCGTACCTTCCCTCCTCCCTCTCCCTCCCTGCTTTCCCTGTTCTCTCCTCCTCGCGCGAAGCCGCTGCCGCACCCCTGTGCGCGTGCATCCGCAGGCTGCGACTGCCGCCGGCGCGGGCGAGGTGCTCGGGGACGAGATGGAACATGATACTCCCCACGGGGCACCAGCCCGAGGGAGCCATCGGGGGGGGGGGGAAGGAGCCTCGAGGGGGGCCAGAGGCTATTTTTGATAACTTTTGACAAGTTTGGAGCATGTTTGGAGGATGTTTTATTTTTCGTCGAAAATCCCCCTGTAAAGGGGGACACGCCCGACTTAAACCTGGGGACACGCCACTTCGTGCCACGGGGGCACGGTGGCGGATAAGCGTGCGAGCGGACTGCGCGTGGCGCTCCAGCAAGGGCTTCCTCTTGCACAGGAGCCACCTTCCTCATCTTCCTCCTCCTCCTCCTCCTCCTCCTCCTCCTCCTCCTCCTCCTCCTCCAGCACACCTTTCCAGACGAATGCGCGCGGCGTGAAGGCGAGAGTCCCCTTCATCCGTGAAGCTGCCGCACACGTTCAAGGCGGATGTGCGCGGCGCTTTCCGGCGACAGCCGCATTGTGAAAGGGACGTTCCGAGGAGGGCCGTTTGAGACATTGGCATCAGGAGGGGAACAACCACAGTCACGTGTGATCGTAGATCCCCAGGAGAATATAGGAAACGATGGGAAGTGGGGGAAAGCCGAAACTCCAGAGACTATGAGAGAAGCTGGGGAATCCTGGGATTTGTGTCTATTTATTTCTGTGTCCCAGGGCCACTCTAGTTCTGGTAGTTGGCCTTCGCGGAGCCATCGTCGCCACGGCGGGCCGCAGCGCGGAAAGCTGGTGCGTCTGGACCCCAGGGGGGGGTGCGGGGGACCGGTGTTGGACTCTCTGAGTGGCTCGAGCCGCCCTGCTCCGAGACCTGCCCTCCAGCCGCGAAGCCGCTGCATAGCTACCTTTACGACGACAGTGCGCGGCGCCGCGGAGGCGGGAACCACATTCTGACAAGGATCCAAGGCGGCAGAAGCAGGAGGAGGAGGAGGAGGAGGAGGAGACGGAGGAGGAGAGGAGGAGGAGGAGGAGGAGGAGGAGGAGGAAGACGGGGTGAGAGCGAGGGGGGAGACAACGAGGAGAAGCGTGTGGAAGAGGAGGAGGAGGAGGAGGAGGAGGAGGAGGAGGAGGAGGAGGAGGAGGAGGAGGAGGAGGAGGGAGAAGGAGGAGCACGAAGAGCCAGAGGAACGGCACGAGGAGGACGATCGGCAGAGGCAGGACCCGCCGCTCTCGACGACGCGCGGAAGCCGTGCCGGCTGCCGCCGCCCAGGTGCGGCTGAGGTGCCACCCGAGCTGCGAGGCGCCGCGGTACGAGGCGGCGGGGGCCGAACGCCTGGCCTGACGGGCCGATTCTCCACCATTGCCACAGGCAGGATGGGGGGGAAGGGAGGATGGGGAGGTCCTCCTCCGCCTCCTCCTCCTCCTCCCTCTCCTACCTATTGTATCGGGGAGACGTAAGACTCGAGTAAGCCGGAACTCGGGTTTGCCGATTGTTTTTTTGACAAGCGCGTCCTGGATGTTGACGGTCCAGTTTTCGTTGGATGTCTGCAGCGGGAGCCCGCGTCAATTTTCAGATTGGGTTTCGTCATTTTTATGATGGCCCCCGCCAGGTCAACCCGAGTCCCCCGTACCCGAGTCTTACGTTTCCTTCATTGTAGTGGTGGTGGGGAATCGGCCCATCATGGGCTCCCTTCTCGCCCCGGACGTCCAGGCGCTGCGACGGACTCACGCCGTTGGTTTCTGCTGATGGTGTCTGGCCTTCACTGGGCCCTGGAAACGACAGGGCCGTTTTTGTACATGTTCCGTTTTACTGTTTTTGTTGCTGGTTCCGACGCCTTTTTTCTGCCAGTTCCGTCGCCGTTTATCTGCCGGTTGCGGCTCTGGCTCCCATCCTGGAGCCGTTTTTGCTGCCGCTTCCGGTCGCCGTTTCTGTGGCCGCTTCCGTTTTCAAGAGACACGTTTTCGAAAGCGGTGAAAGAGCGGCCCTGCCGTTCCCGGGGCCTGGAAGGTCTGGCCTCTGCCGGCCCGCGCTGGGGCCCAGGGTCGCTCTGGGCGGGGCCGGCCCCGTGATGGGGGCGGCAGGGGGCCCGGGGAGGGGGGGGAGGGCGGGGCGCGCCGCGAGGAAAAAAAGTGTGGCGTCGAGAGGTCTGGGCCCCCTGTCCTCCTGTGCTGCTGCTGCTGCTGCTCCTCGTCCTCGGGTGCCCTTCCTCCTCCTCCTCCTCCTCCTCCACCTCCTCCTCCTCCTCCTCCTCCTCCTCCTCCTCCTCCTCAGTCTCCTCCTCCGTCTCCTCCTCCTCCTCCTCCTCCTCCTCCTCCTACTTTCGGTTCGAATGCAACTCCTGGGAGGTCAAATTCTGACGTTGCCCTGGTCCGAAATCCAGTGTACATCGGCTTAGTCCCGCTTGATCCCGCTCCCTCGGGCTCAATCCCGCTAGATTCCACTTAATCCGCAGCCTTGTCCGGCGTAGCAGCCCCGCTGATCGAAGAAGAAAAAGCGGCATAAACATAAATTTGTGGCGCTCCGCGCGGATTTTCTTGGATCCGCGCTGGGTCCCCCCTGCGGCGCCACCGGCGCCGCCCCTGGCGCGCTCCGCGCGCCAGGGAGGGGGGTCCAGCGCAGATCCAAGAGGTCCGCGCGGAGCGCCAAATGTTTCTGTTTGTGCAGAATTCTTCTTCTAACTGAATCCTCCATACCCATCGGTCTTTGAGAGTAGATATTTCTGGATTCCCAGATCCCAATCTACATTAAGCGCCTTCCTATTTCAATAACTGGTATATCTATATGGTTTGGGGCGGGCGGGCGCAAGCCTGAATTCTTGACGCTTCGCGTGTCCCCACCAGCGTCCGTAGCCTTTGGCTCAAGCTCAGGCTGCAATCGCGCTGCTCAGCACTAGTTCTGAGCCGTTTTCCGCCCCCCGCCATGGCGATCGACCTGCGGATGACCGGTTTTCTGGACAGCCTGGACAAAGCCATGGACCGGGTGCGCGTGGTGCTCGACGCGGCAAAGTGTCCCTGCTTCGCCTCGGACGTACACCACCAGTACTCCGACAAGTACCTCCTCGCCGAGTTCATGACGCGCGCTGCGATGGCCTCCCAGGTGAATTGCCTGTCGACGCTGGGCCTCGATGCCGAGAAGCTCTCGCGGCTTCGTGCCTGGGCGGCATCGCAGGCCGCTTCCCTGGAGTTCACCGCCGAAGAGCGCTGCGGCTTTGCCCGGGAGGAAACCCGAGAGGTGGCGAGTGCGACGAAGGTTGTGGATGAGGTGTCCGTCATGGGCTCGGTCCGAAGCGCGCTGACCAGCAAGGTTGTCACCACAGTCACGGAGTACTTCTGGACCGTTTCGGTCTCCTACAGCTTGGTAGCCGTGCGAGGCGCGGGGGCTGCGGCCGACGACCGGTTGCAACTCTTTGCCCGAGCGGGCAGCGAGGAGTTGAAGACGACATCGAAGTCGGCTCCTCGTCCAGAGATGTTGTCGCATCCCAAGCTCAGCGTTAATGTCAGCTGGTTGGTGCTGCACCTCTCAGACTCTGCCACGCCCTGCTTCGGCATCGACCGCGTGCATGGTAAGTGCCACACGCCGCGTCGCAACAGCGACGTCGGGGATGCCCTGGAGCATTTCTCGCGCGTGGCGGCGTGGGCGCGCAAGGTTGCGGCGTACCTGCAGCGCCTCCTTGACATCCCGCTGGACGAGGCTTCCTGGGACAGGAGCGCCATCGGCCGCGACCAGCCGCTGATACCTGTGCTCCCCCTGCTGCAGGAGCGGCACGGGGGCGAGGATGGCAGCGTGGCGGCCGACGACCGCGCAACCCCGGCTCCGGCAGGGACCGCGGGCCTCGTCGCCACCGTTGGCCCTGCCACGGAGGGCCTCTCGGGCAGCGCGCTCTTGGGCCTCTCCGACATGAACCTCCTGCTCGAGGAGGAGGCGCGGGCCCTGCGGCAGAAGTCCGCCGCGCTGGCGGAGGCCCTCCCCAGCGCCGACGGCGGGCGCCTCGCCACCGCCGCCGAGGCGAGGCTTGCGGCCACGCTGGCGCACTGCGCCTCGGTCTGCAGTCAGCTGGCAGCCGCCATGGACTACATCGAGAGCATGCTTCGGAGTCAGCTCGTCGCTGCCATCGGCAAGGAGGTGACGCCAGCTGCCTTCGCGGATTACATGAGGTTCCACTGCCGTCGGCTCTTCGCTGCACCGTACGCCCCATCGCCGTTTTGCTTCGCGGTGCGCCGCTCCGAGGGTCACTCGCCCGAGGGCACCGTGAGCATCGAGCAGGAGCCTCGCGACCCAGGCGCTGAGTCCAGCATTGCCGAGCCCATCGTGACCATGGTCGCGCGGAGCGAGAGGTCCCACCCGATGCAGTTCCCCCTCAGCGCCTCCGCCAACGTGACCTTCAAGGGGGACCGCTACCTGCACGCCTGGCTCAGCCACCAGTTCACTGGGCACGCCAACCCCAAGCTCGCACTGGTCTCCAAGGCACGCCAATTCAGTTCGATGATCGTTATGGTGGGCCGCATTGTCTCGGCAAGCGTCTTCGAGCCGAAATGCGCGGCCATTGTTCAGAACAAGGACGAGCTCAGTATACCCCTAGAACTGTCCACGATCCCGACGCCCAAGGAGTTCAGGGACGCTATCGAGTCGTTGTCGCCAGAGCAGCAGCGCTTCGCCAAGGCTTTCCGCGCCATGCAGCTGGAAAGCACGCTCTTCGGCGTCCTCGTGATTCAGATCAAGCCGCAGCTCGAGAAGGTGCTGAACCTTCCGGAGGACAGCCTCGCGAAGGAGATAAAGCTGACGCAGGACTTGATGCAGCTCTTCATCAAGTATCAGCTTCCCAGCGACCTGCTCTCCTTCGACGCCTCGACCTTCGCGCGGGCCCAGGCCCCCGGCGACGCCTCGACCTCCGCGCCGGCCTGGGCCGCCGAGGCGGCCCGCGGCGAGCTGGTGGGCGGCGCCACGGCCTCGGAGCGCCTGTCGGCGGTCCGGGAGAGCGTCAAGGCCATGATGGCAGTCATCGAGGACGAGAAGAAGGAGGAGCTCCAGGAGAGGACCCTGGAGGCGCGCTTCGAGGCTCCACTTGTGGACCGCGGCGTGATGATGGACGACCTGTGCGACACGATGATGCCGGCCAGCATGCCGGCGCCGGCGTCGGCCAGCACGAGTGTGGGCCCGAAGAGGGCAGAAAGGATGCGCTCCAGGAGGTCCGTGGCGGAGAGCGCAGTTGCAATGAAGTGCGCGGTGCCGTGCAGTGCTCCTGTGCCACCCACGGCGGCTGCGGCGGCGGCTCCAGTGCCCGCCACGGCACAGGCGGCCCCGGGAGCGGGGTCGGCGCGAGTACCCCCAGCGCAGCCGTCGCAGTGGCAGCGGCCCGCTGGCGACGGAGCTGGGGATCGGGTCAGCGAGGACGCCGCCAGGGATTACACCCGCGTGCCCAGGGAGATGGACCAGCAGTTCGAGGCCCTGGACACAGACAGCGCCCTGCGGCCCACCATCATCACCCCTGGCGACCTCTGGCGCAAGAGGTCGCAGAGGGCCCTCCTGGCCAAGCCCAGCGACGCCACCCTGGACGGCGACGAGCAGAAGCGGGAGCGCGTCGCAGCCTTCGACCTCCTCGACGCCCTGACGAAGTCCGGCGCCCTGCCCGTGGAGGCCGCGAGCCTCCACGTTCTGGTGGCTGCCACGCACTGCTTCGACAAGAGCGTCACGGACACCGTCGTCCAGGACAACGTGTCGCCCATTGAGAAAGTTCAGAGCCCCGAATCATCAGGGGTAACTCGGGTCAGGGATAGCTCGGGTTCGTTTTCCGGGAATCCAAACCCGAATTACCCCGGACCCGAGTTACCCCGGATAATTCGGGCGTCCAGAGCCCCGAATCATCAGGGGTAACTCGGATCAGGGCTAACTCGGGTTCCTTTTTTCGGGAATCCAAACCCGAGTTACCCCGGACCCGAGTTACCCCGGATAACTCGGGCGCCCAAAAAGTGGAGCGCTCTTCCTTGATCATGGCGGCCACGGTGCACCAGGTGCCGGTGGCGGCCCTGCTGGAGGGCTCGCAGCTCTCGCGGGTGCGCAGCAGCTGCCCAGCGCTCTTCGTGGAAGACGGCGAGGCGAACGCCGTGGCCTGACAGGGGCACGCAGTCTCATTCTGCTGTTTTGCATTTCAGAACACCTCACAGTACGGCAAGTCCAGCAGTTGGTTTAAATCAGTCTTAGTACCCGTGCTGCCCCGGATTTGCACATTGCCCTTGATTGCTTTGCCTGCCGGTGGGTTCTTCCAGAGGGCCTCGTCCTTCCGGGTTGCCATTAAACACAAGGGCTAACGCACTTCTGGGTTACAGTACCAGCATTGGGTGGTTGCGCGCTGGTATCCGTCGTGCAGCTTGACGGTTGTCTTTGCGTTGCTCATTTCCGACGAACTGTTTCCCTATCCCTGCTCTTTGTTTCTATCCTATTCCCGTGGCTCCCAAATCTGATGTAGGTGCAGGCTCTGACGCGATCGTGTCTCAGCTCGGTGGATTCTGCCCGCAGCAGCGGCGGCCGACTTCAGCTGGTGCGCGGCGACGTCCACGGCGAACACGCGGCGACGACGGTGCTCCTGCAGTGGGATGCACAGTTCTGCCGCCCTCGTGTTTCAACCCCCGATGGGTTTTGCCCGCAGCAGCGGCGGCCGACTGTCAGCTGCTGCGCGACCCGCGGCCAACACGCGGCGGCGACGGTGCTCCTGCAAAAAAAAATTAGCCTGGCGACGAACCCAACCATATGTAGTTGTCAGTACCGCAGCTGCGGGTTTCATCTTCAATGGAACTCCCCATAGGATTACGGAACGTGTGAGGGGTGTGCCGAGATGGGTGCCACTGGGGCATTCGGCGAAGCTCCCTATGGGGACATGAAACACGCGCGGGGCGTGCCGACATGGGTGGCGGAAACGCATGTGCGGGCCGCCACTGGGGCCTCCAGTGGAGCTCCCTATGGGTCCCCGAAACATGATGCTGCTGCGGGGGGGGGGGCCGGGATGGGTGGCGGAGACGCATGTAAGCGCCGCTACTGGGGCCTTCGGTGGAGCTCCCTATGGGGCCACGAAGCGCGTGAGGGGTGTACTGGGATGTGTGGCGGGGACGCATGTGAGCGCCGCCACTGGGGCCTTCGGTGCAGCTCTCTATGGGGCCACGAAACGTGTGAGGGGTGTGCCGAATTGGGTGCGGGTGGTGACGCATGCGGGCGGCAGCACTGGGGCCTTCGGTGGAGCTCCCATGGGGCCACGAAACCTGTTGTTGTGAGGGGCGTGCCGGGATGGGTGGCGGGGACGCATGTGAGCGCGGCCGCTGGGGCCTTCGGTGGAGCTCCCTATGGGGCCACGAAACGTGTGAGGGGTGTGCCGAATTGGGTGGGTGTGGGTGACGCATGTGAGCGCCGCCACTGGGGCCTCCGGTGGATGATGGGGCCACGAAACCTGTCAGGGATGTGCCGAAATGGGTGTGCGGGACGCATGCGCATGTGAGCGCCGCCACTGGGGCCTTCGGTGGAGCTCCCTATGGGGCCACGAAACGTGTGAGGGGTGTGCCGAAATGGGTGTGGGTGACGCATGCGGGCGCGGGCACTGGGGCCTTCGGTGGAGCTCCCTATGGAGCCACGAAACGTGTGAGGGGTGTGCCGAAATGGGTGTGGGTGACGCATGCGGGCGCGGGCACTGGGGCCTTCGGTGGAGCTCCCTATGGAGCCACGAACGTGTGAGGGGTGTGCCGAAATGGGTGTGGGTGACGCATGCGGGCGCGGGCACTGGGGCCTTCGGTGGAGCTCCCTATGGCAGCCACGAAACGTGTGAGGGGTGTGCCGAAATGGGTGTGGGTGACGCATGCGGGCGCGGGCACTGGGGCCTTCGGTGGAGCTCCCTATGGAGCCACGAACGTGTGAGGGGTGTGCCGAAATGGGTGTGGGTGACGCATGCGGCGCGGGCACTGGGGCCTTCGGTGGAGCTCCCTATGGCACGAAACGTGTGAGGGGTGTGCCTGACGCATGCGGGCGCGGGCACTGGGGCCTTCGGCGGAGCTCCCTATGGAGCCACGAACGTGTGAGGGGTGTGCCGAAATGGGTGTGGGTGACGCATGCGGGCGCGGGCACTGGGGCCTTCGGTGGAGCTCCCTATGGAGCCACGAAACGTGTGAGGGGTGTGCCGAAATGGGTGTGGGTGACGCATGCGGGCGCGGGCACTGGGGCCTTCGGTGGAGCTCCCTATGGAGCCACGAAACGTGTGAGGGGTGTGCCGAAATGGGTGTGGGTGACGCATGCGGGCGCGGGCACTGGGGCCTTCGGTGGAGCTCCCTATGGAGCCACGAAACGTGTGAGGGGTGTGCCGAAATGGGTGTGGGTCGCATGACGGGCGCGGGCACTGGGGCCTTCGGTGGAGCTCCCTATGGAGCCACGAAGCGTGTGAGGGGTGTGCCGAAATGGGTGTGGGTGACGCATGCGGGCGCGGGCACTGGGGCCTTCGGTGGAGCTCCCTATGGAGCCACGAAACGGTGTACTGGGTGGGTGAAGAGGAGAGGAGGAGAGGAGGAGAGGAGAGGGAGGAGAGGAGAGGAGAGGAGAGGAGAGGAGAGGAGAGGAGAGGAGAGGAGAGGAGAGGAGAGGAGAGGAACGCGGGGCACCCTCTCTTCAAAACGAGGACCCAACACCACAGGATGGTTGGGAAAAAGACGACAGACTCGCTTGGCGGCATCCCGCCGCCCTCCCTGGTACGTGCACTTCCTGTCTTGGGACCCAAGTGTGTGTACCAGCAATACCGTCCGCATTGCAATCACGTGTTGCGTGTGGTCATAGTGGCCCCTGGCCCCGCTGTAGCTGTTTTCACCTTGCCAGGCCCGTCCTGTCCCGCAGCTCTGAGTCCGACGCTTTGGTGGTTTTCGCCTCGTCACGCTCACATCCGCGCCTTCAGCCGTGCGTCTCTACCCTCCCTGGGAGCGACCCTGGGCCTGGACCCATCGTTCTTGGGCCCCACGGTGTTCAGACGGTCCTTTTGACGTGGGTCGCCCCGCCGCGACGACGGAATGCCCACCTGGTCCGCTGGCACCGTTCACTGACTGGGTCGCAGACGTGCTCCCGTACATGGCTTCCTTACCGCGGTTGGCCGTGGTGCGCCACCTTGTGGCTAGTGGTGCGCCGCTCCTGCGTGGGTCGGTGCGCACTGGCGTCTCCCCATCGTCGCTCCCACGCTCAACCTGGTTGTGCGACCTCTCCCTGGGACTTCGTGACGTTGACGGATGTGCTGCTGTGGGTATACGGCAGCGTCGCTTTCTACCAGCGCTCTTCTTTTGCTTGCCTCTGCATGGGTTGAGAGCCGCGGGTTGTCACTTAGTCGCTTCCTGGTACACGCCCACTCCCGATTGACCGCGTGTCTCTCGCCAGGTCGGGTGCAGGTGTACTTCTGCACTGTGGCACACCATATCGTTGGTCTCCCGCGTGCCGGCGCATCCTTCTGCAGTTGTTCTGAGGTCACCCCGGTTGTCTATGACTTCTGGCGTACTCTGTCAGCCGCCGGATGCGTTTTCTGAAGCTGCGACGGTTCGCTGGCGCTGTCAGAAATTTCCCTCTCTGCTGGACGACGTCAGCTCTACGCCTTCGGTCCGCCCGTAACCGACTGACACCCTGGGCTCTGACACTTTCTTGCACGGAGTCTGATTCCCACCACCATGCGATCGTCGGTCCGACACGATCCATTGCTGGGGATGTGCGGCGCGCCATTTTGGCCGCGTCCGCCGTGCTTCCTGGGTGGCTGACCCCTCAGACTCCCTGGGTTGCAGCTTGCACTGCCGCCTGGCCTCTCAGACGCCCTGGGTTGCTGCTTGCTCCGCCGCCTGATCCGCGGCCCCCGCGCGCGCCCGGGTAATTCGTCACGGCCGCAGCCCGACCGTGACCCACCGCCGCCGGCGCTTCCGCCCGCGGCTGTAAAAAATTATCCTGGCGAAGGACCCAACCATATGCAGTTGTGAGTATCGCAATTGTGAGTATCTTCTTCGGTGGCGCTCCCTATGTGGCCACGAACCGCATGAGGGGTGTGCCGAAATGTGGCGGGGTACACAACGCAAAGGAATACGATTGATCTGATTACGAGAGAAAGAACGCGGGTGAGTCAGAGCGCGAGGGAATATGAGTATGAATGGGTCTGCGCGCGAGTGAATATATTTGCATGACTGCGATCATGGAAACGCCTAGCGTAAGTGTATATGAATGTGAATGGTTCGAGCATGCCTGTCCGAACACACGTGACACTGGGCGTGGCCGCCGCAGGCAGCTTCCGCGGGAACCCCGACGGCAGCGTCCGCACGTCGCGACGCCCATGTCGGCACGCCTCTTGCGAGGATCGCGCCCGCTTTCGGCTCTTCTTTTCGTTCCTCTTTGCCCGCGCACTCCAAATTCCAAGGCTGCGGGCGCAGCGCAGCGCGGAGTCCCCGCGACGCGCGCTGGTCGCCCCGGGCGGGGTCCCAGCGACGCGCGCGGGTCGTCCGCTGCGCGAAGCAGAGAGAGCTGACTAGCTAACTGGCTGGCTGATAGCGGGCAAGTCTCTGACCGCTGGGCAGAGCGACGACGGGCGAACGAGGCGCCGGGCCCCCGCAGCACGGAGTTCCCGCGACGCGCGCTGGTCGCCCCGAGAGCGCGCTGGTCGCCCCGAGAGGGTCCCAGCGACGCGCGCGGGTCGTCCGCGGCGCGAGGCCAAACAATTAGTCGGGCAATCGAGAGAAGGCGCGGCTCGGGGGAGACGCTCCTCAGGTCAGGCCTCGCGGATGAACTCGGTGAAGCCGAGCTCCTTGGCGAGGGCCGTCGCTTCCCTCCTGCACCGCTTCGTGCGCGCCGAAACTGCTCCAGCTGCTTCCGCAAGCCCTGCGGCGGCCCTGCCAGGAAGAACTCGATGCGCGGCGCCCGCATGAGCAGGAGGTCCTCGTGGCGCGTGGCGCGCGAGAGCAGCACGTAGAGCTCCAGCCACCAGTCGTCGTCCTCCTTCTTGCCGTTCCCTACCTCGTGGCGGCCGCAATCCAGGATCACGCCTGGGCGACGTCGACCGAGGGAGCAGCGCGCCGGGCAGCCGACGGCCCAGGGCGAGAGTCCACAGGACCAAGAGATGGTCTGGCCGCGGACTGCTCGAGGCTTGCCGACGGCACAGGGCGGCGGCACTGAGAGGCCTTCGGTGGAGCTCCCTATGGGGCCACGAAGCGTGTGAGGGGTGTGCCGAATTGAGTGTGCGTGACGCATGCGGGCGCGGGCACTGGGGCCTTCGGTGGAGCTCCCTATGGGGCCACGAAGCGTGTGAGGGGTTGGCCGAAGTGGATGGGGGTGACGCATGCGGCCGCGGGCACTGGGGCCTTCGGTGGAGCTCCCTGTGGGGCCACGAAACGTGTGAGGGGTGTGCCGAAATGGGTGTGCGGGACGCATGCGGCGGCAGCCTGGGGCCTTCGGTGGAGCTCCCTATGGGGCCACGAAACGTGTGAGGGGTGTGCCGACTTGGGTGTGCGTGACGCATGCGGGCGGCAGCACTGGGGCCTTCGGTGGAGCTCCCTATGGGGCCACGAAACGTGTGAGGGGTGTGCCGAATTAGATGTGCGTGACGCATGCGGGCGGCAGCACTGGGGCCTTCGGTGGAGCTCCCTATGGGGCCACGAAGCGTGTGAGGGGTGTGCCGACTTGGGTGTGCGTGTCGCATGCGAGCGGCAGCATTGAGGCCTTCGGTGGAGCTCCCTATGGGGCCACGAAACGTGTGAGGGGTGTGCCGAATTGGGTGTGCGTGACGCATGCGGGCGGCAGCACTGGGGCCTTCGGTGGGGGTCCCTATGGGGCCATGAAACGTGTGAGGGGTGTGCCGAATTGAGTGTGCGTGACGCATGCGGGCGCGGGCACTGGGGCCTTCGGTGGAGCTCCCTATGGGGCCACGAAGCGTGTGAGGGGTGTGCCGAATTGGGTGTGCGTGACGCATGCGGGCGGCAGGAGGGGGGAGGAGGCAGCGGGAGGAAGGAGAACGCGGGGCACCCTCTCTTCAAAACAAGGACCCAACACCACAGGATGGTTGGGAAAAAGTGCCCCCACCAGCCCATCCAGAAACGATGTCCAGGCAAGTTGAAGAGATCAGGGAAGTGGGGGAGCAACGAGAGGGACAGCCGATCCGTGCAAAGGATGAGGCGGAAGAGGAGGCCAGATGGATAGATGAGGGGATGGCGAGGAACCGAGCGAAGGAGGGATGAGGAGAATGATGGCGCTGGGTGGATGGTTGAATGCCGCCCGGATGCCTCTTGGAAGCCTTTTGGAAGCCTCTTCGGACGTCTTGGGGGTCTCTTGGCGGTCAATGGGGGCTCTTGGGCGTCTTGGGTGCTTCGGGGGGGCCTCTTGAGGCCGCTTGGGATCCTCTTGGGAAGCTCTTGGGGGTCTGTTGGAGGCCTCTTGGGGCCTCTTGGGGGTCTCTTGGAGCTTCATGGCGGCCTCTTGGAGCCTCTTGGAGGCCTCTTGGAACCATCCTGGGAGCCTCTTGGAGCCTCTTGGGGGCTTCTTGGGGCCTCATGGCGGCCTCTTGGGGCCTCTTGGAGGCCTTTTGGAAGCCTCTTGGGGTCTCCTGGGCGCCTCTTGGGGCCATCTTGGAGGAGATCGATCAAAGAAGAGGGTGGGGTTAATTAGCCTTGCCCTCCCAAGTGGCCCAAATGGGGCCAAAACCCTAGTAAAACCGATGATTTTGGTTTCCTCGCCGAGGCCGTTTTGGACGCTCTAACTACCAGCGGCCCCCCCCGTCCAAGTCCAGGGGAGGGGGTTAGATGGAGGGGTAAACCCCTCCCCGAAGGGGAAGAAGGGAAGATGGAAGAGGAAACTCCCGGAACCACCTACGCCCAGAGGGCTGGTGGGACTACTTCTTGTTGTTTATCATAGGTGCCGAATGTCCGTTGGTGATTCCCACGGAGACCTCCCAGTAGATGCCTCCTAACATAGGCGGCCTCCAGAAGGCCTCGGTCTCCGCTCGGCCGCTCGGACGCCACCCCTCCCCGTTGGGGTGGTCGTCAATATCGTCGTCGTCGTCGTCGTCGTCGTCGTCGTCGTCGTCGTCGTCGTCGTCGTCGTCGTCGTCGTCGTCGTCGTCGTTGTCATTATCGTCGTCGTCATTGTCGTCGCCGTCGTCAATATCTTCGTCGTCGTCGTCGTCGTCGTCGTGATCGTCGTCGTCGTTATCGTAGTCGTCGTCGTCGCCGCCGCCGCCGCCGCCGCCGCCGCCGCCACCGTCGCGCCCGCGCCTGGAGGCCGGGCCGCTCGAGGCCCACGGCGCGTCCGCGGAGGGCGGCGCGGGCGCGGGCGGCCTGGCCGTGGGGCTGACGGTGGAGGTCGCTTAGATGCTCGTTTGGGGGACCTTCCTGGGGCCCCCCTGACGGATCTGTTCGACTCCTAGCACGACCCCAGGTCGGCTCCAGCTCGATATAAGTTCGGCTCGAGCTCGACTCGGGCTCGACCTCGAGCCGACGGACGTTACGTAGGCGCAGCTTCGACGCCCGAGCGCGGAGCGAGTGCCTCCGGGAAGGTCCCCGGAGTGCGTATCTCCCAGGTCGAGGGCGCGGGCGCGCGTGCGGGCTGGCTGGAGAAGGCCGGGGCATCGCTCGTCGGCGGAGGCTGGGAGCCCCTACGGCCTAGGCCCACACGGAGTGCTCGGTCTCCGCCGGGGCTCCTTCCGTCTGGACTTGGCCTCTCCTGGGGGGAGGCCGAGTCCGTACCGGAGGGCACCAACTATACACCAACACCGATCCTGGCCCAGGATCACCCTGGGCCCAGGATCGGTGTATATACCTTCTTGCGCAAGGCAGGAGGGCGTATACACCGATCCTGGGCCCAGGGTGATCCTGGCCAGGATCGGTGTTGGTGTATAGTTGGTGCCTTCCTACCGTACGGGGTGAGTCCACACGGAGTGCTCGGTCTCTGTGTCGGCCTACGCCGTCTGGGCGCAGCCTCTCTCGAGCCTGGGGTCGGGGGCAGCGTCAGTGCAGGCCTCCCGGATGGGGTCGCAGCAGGTGGGGTCGGAGGGTCGCGCCGCATCGCCGATTGATCGGCGATGCGGCTCGATGTGGACCCTTATGGTCTCCGCGCCAGCGGCGCCCATGGACCGCCGACCGTGGCGAGATCCTCGTCACCATTTACAGTGAGCGGCTTGAATAAGCACTTACTTTTCAAAAGGGGCTCGGTCGTTCCTTAGGCTTGCCTGCGTTATGTATCGTTCCCTTTGCGCTGTTTATTATCTGTTCATCGTTCCCTATGCGTTATTCCTTGGAATAAAAGGGGCTTCGTTCCTTATGTATCGTTCCTTAGGTCAGGCCGATGACTGTACTCGGACCGCATCTAGGAGGCCTCGAGGCAACGTCCGGGGGGGCTCTAGGCTCCAGGGGGACGCAGCGGCCCCCCTCGCCCCTCGATCGCCGTCAGGGGCCCGATGGGCCGATCCCGAAGCTTGTCCAGGAAGGCGGGGATTCCATTGCGGTGGCTGTGGGTTCCCGCGACGCTCGCCTGACGACATGGAGACATCAGGCGTGATGTTCCAAACCTGAGGACCAGGGCCCCGGGGGGGGGGGGGTCAGAACGCTTCGCGACGCCAAGAAGTGAAGACCAGGTCGTCGGTCCGACGATCTGAAGACATGAAGACATGAAGACGTGCTGCCCTGCCCGACGACGTGGAGACATGTAGACATGCTGTCCTGCCCGACGAAATGAAAACATTCAGACATGATTATCAGGTCGTCAAGTCTTCATGCCTTCATGCTGTCGGGCAGGTATCCGTCGTCACGTCTTCGTGTCTTCAGGTCGCCAGGCCCTTTCTCTCCCTGCTGCTGCTCCTCTCCTGGTCCTGCTCTCCCGCTGTCCTCCTTTTCTTTCACCTCCCCCATGCTGCATGCTCTCATCTCCATCATCCCCCTCATCTTATCGTCATCGTCATTGTCTCAGGACTGGTCTCAGGACTGCAGATGTTGCGAAGCCTGCCAGGCAGCGACAGCAAGGGCAAGGAGGAGGGAGAAGGCAGGAGGAAAGCGGGAGGAGGTGGAGCAGGAGGAAAGGAGGACGATCAGGCGGAGGAAAGAGGAGAGGGAGAACACGGAGAACAGGAGGAAAGGAGGACGATCAGGCGGAGGAAAGAGGAGAGGGAGAACACGGAGGCGGTCCTCGAAAGTTCCTCGTGAGAAGGCTACCATGGGGTGAATCACTCAAGCCCCAGCCCACACAAGGACGAAAAGCAGGAGGAGAAGGAGGAGGAGGAGGAGGAGGAGGAGGAGGGGGAGGAGGGGGAGGAGGAGGAGGAGGAGGAGGAGGAGGAGGAGGAGGAGGAGGAGAGGAGAGGAGGTGGAGGAAGAGGAGGGGGAGGAAGAGGAGGAGGAGGAAGAGGAGGAGAAGGAGGAGGAGGAGGAGAAGGAAGAGGAGTAGGAGAATGAGGAAGAGGAGGAGGAGGAGGAGCAGGAGATGAAGGTGGATGAGGGGGAGGAGGTGGAGGAGGAGGACGAGAATGTGGAGGAGGAGGGGGAGGAGGAGGGGGAGCAGGAGGAGGAGGAGGAGGAGGATGAGGAGGAGGGTCGGGAGGAGGAGGAGGAGGAGACGTAGGAGGGGACTGGAGAAAAATGAGGGATGAGGTTGTCTACGCTTCGGTCTATCCCGGGGCCTTCTGGAGATTCTATTTGAAGTCTCTGGGCCGTTCGGGGGGTCCCGTGGTGTTTCTCGGGGCTCTCTTGGGGCTTTTATGGAAACGTTTGCGCGCCAGCTGGGTCATAGCTGGCGGAGACTACATATTTTTCGCCCCCTGGCCCGCTTTTGTCGTCATATTGCCCGCGTCTCCGCCCCTCTACAACTATGGGTTTTACATGTCAACGTTTTGCACCCCCTGTCGGCGAGGCCATTGCCAGCTGTCGCAGGGGGGCCCCGCGTGCGCGGCGACGCCTTGGGCCCGCTCGACGCACCCGCGCCCGCGCCGGCGTTCCCGGGGCCTCGCGTGCCCGGGCCGCGGCTTGCAGTTTGCGGCGACGTCGGCGCTGTCCCTCGCACGGCAGCGCCGCTGGCCCAGCCGAGGGCCGCCGCCCCCGCCCCCGTCGCCCCCATCATAACCCCGCCGAAGGAAAAGTTTAGATCGGGGGCGCTTCTGTTACGGCGCGAACAAGGCAGCCGAGAGAAGGTGGAGGTGGCCGCAGTCGGCCCTGCGGAGCCTGCTCCGGGCAGCTTGGACTGCTCGGCGACGCAGAAGGCGATCTCGTTCGCATCGTCCGGACGCGTGCAGCTTTTCTCAGCGAGGACCAGCGAGGAGTATCCTGGATCACCGAAGCGTGCACGGGGAATGGACATCCGAGCGACGGCAAGTGTCAGGAACGAAGCGCCCCCTCCTCGTCCTC